CCAGTTTTTAATCGGTTTGGTCCTCTTTACAATTTCAGTAACCTAATTTTCATCTTAAATATGCTTGGGCCCCAATTGTTAAACTAAAAAGTTGCAAAAATCAATGTTGTTGCTATCCATGTTTCCTTAAATATGTTTGTGTCTTGGGAAACTCGGGTGCAATCACTTGTGCTTTCAAAACTTGCCCAAGCACAGAATGCTTCAGGGCTGCAACTAACGATTAGTTTGGTAATTGATCAAACTACCAATATTTTTTACGATTTAAATAATTAATCGGTTAGCTGTGAAAGGTGTTTGAAAATTATATTTTTTCAAACTTTTTCCCACTTAAGCTAAAGTGACACGACTGTAGGACATTTAAACTTAAAGTGAATGTTTGTTGAAGGTTCTTGGTGCTAATACTGTTTTCTGATTGAATGAGATACATAAAAATTTACAAAACATTGCATACCATAACTTTAAAAACAAAGTAGTTTTTCCATCAAAAATGTAACATTTTTATGTATTTTTTGTTCCATTTGAGTCTGAGTGTACCAGAAAACAATCAATCGATTTACTAAAATAGTTGACAACTATTACTATAATCTTAAACTAAATACTATAATCGCTTAGTTGTTTCAGCCCTACTTCAATAGCATAGTTTGTTTGCAAAAAGAGAGTGCAACCAAACTGCACAAATTCAAGTACTTTCATGTGAGCTGCTGTAGTGATAAAGTGTCCTTAGTTAGTTGCAAGTTACATCAAAGTTCTGTCAGTTTCACTGTTGAATGCTTTTATCCTGATCAATGAACAGAAGCAGCGATAGCTGGAATAATAGTAATAACAATAATGCCTTACACTTGTATTGCGGTTGTTATTCATTCACTCCATACTCGGTACTATGAAACCTTTTGTATTCTTACCTCTCCATATTAAATGCACTGTGTTTTGGATAGACATGTAAGCAAAGAAGATGATGATATTAAGCTGTATTATTTGTACTGGGATTCTAATAACTTGTGATATTTCTTTTTCCAGGTTGCCAAGCAAGAAAAACTGCTCTGATGTTGTGGAAATGTAAGTTTTGTCAAGTTTCCTATCCAAAAAGAGGACAGCTGCTTAAGCATTACAGACTTAAGCATGGTGGCTACACAAGAACATCTCCAGTGCCATGCCTTCATGAAGGATGTATCTGCACTTTCAAATCATTTAATGCTCTTAAGATACATCTCTCAAGAACACATTGCGACACCAGTAATAGTGCTGTCGAAAATCCCCCTAAACATTTGTTTCAATGTCAAATTTGTGATTTTGTAGAGCCCTGTACAGAGCAAGATTTCTTAAGCCATTTACGAACACACATACGCATGAACCAAAAAGTTCAATGTCCTTTCAAGGATTGTTCATTTGAAACAAGTGTGTATGCAACATTTAATGCTCACAAAACCAATAAACACAGAGAAAGGCAAACACAACGACATTTGGACTACAAACTGGGAGTTGTAGTTGCTGTTTGTGGTATGGAGAATACAGTCCAGACAGAGACAACAAATGAATGGAATGATGACTTGTATGAGTATAGTGATCCTGACTTAGAGCTACAGCTTAAACATAATTTGGCTGGTCTTTTTCTCAGAATGCGGACGATGCTCAACATATCAGAAAAAGCTATCCAAGATGTATTCCATCAAATCAACCAAATAATGGATCTGTCTAAACCGTTATTGTTGACTGCCATTGAGGATATACTTGGAAAGCACAACACTGACTTGTCATTGGCTAAAGAAATACTTGATAGTATATCTGAGAAAAATGTTATCCAGAAACACACTCAACATGGAGGCTCCCTATCGACAACCTTTAAAAGAGAGGCATTTTTGTTACAAGAATTCAAAGTTGTTCAACCTGTCGAGTATATAGTTGGACAAAATAAACAGTCTGTTGTCTACGTGCCAATAATCAAAATGCTGGAAGCTTTGTTGAACAAAGATGAGATTTTAGACAAAGTCCTTAATGTTGAGAGATCTAATGGATTTGGCTGCTACAGAGATGGGTCCCGATTCAAGGAAAATGTTCTTCTAATGGAAGAAGAGTGCAGATTTGCCTTGGGTCTTTATATCGATGATTTTGAGGTAGCCAATCCACTTGGGACCTCTAGAAAAAAGTACAAAATTTGTGCTGTATACTGGGTGCTTCTAAATATTGCAAACAAATTTCGCTCTATGCTCAATGCTATACAGTTGGCCTTGATGTGTAAAGTCCAAACTGTAAATGAGTGTGGGTACTCTGAAGTCTTTCAGCCTCTCCTTCAAGACTTAGAACTTCTAGAGAAGAGTGGAGTATATTTGGAAAAGCTTGGCTCAAGTATCAGAGGGACAGTGCTGTATGTTGCAGCAGATAATCTTGCAGCTCACTCTTTAGCAGGCTTCCGAGAAAGCTTTGTGTCTGGCAAGATTTGTCGCTTTTGCATGGCAGAAAAAGAGGAAATTCAAAATCATGAAGTAAGCTCTGGTCATTTCAGAATGAGGACCAATGAGGAACATGGACATCATGTTAAGGAAGTCCAAGAGCAACCTCAAATGGCAAAAGAATATGGAGTGAAGAGAAACTGTCCACTTGGAAGCCTGGAACATTTTCAGGTTGTCAATGGTTTTGCCCCAGACATCCTCCACGATCTCTTGGAAGGAATTATACCTTCTGAGTTGCACCTGTGCATTTCAGATCTTATCAAAAAGAAATATTTCACGCTTGACACACTGAATAATGAAATAAAGAGATTTCCCTACTCCCATACTGATAAAACCAACCAACCTCAGATAATCCCAAAAACATTTCATTCCAAGGGAACCATCAGTGGCAATGGCCATGAAAATTGGACATTGCTCAGGCTCCTACCTCTAATGGTTGGTCATTACATCCCAGAAGGTGATGAAACCTGGGAGGTGATACTGTGTTTAAAAGATGTTCTCGAGTTGGCCATGTCCACAAGATTTACAGATGAGATTATCCATTATCTGGAAACAAAAGTGTCAGAACATAGATTTCTACTGAAAAAGGTATTCCCAAACTACAAACTGAAACCAAAACACCATTTCATTGAACATTATCCCCACCTTATTCGTGTTTTTGGTCCACTTGTCCATGTGTGGACAATGAGGTTCGAGGGGAAACACAAATTTTTCAAGAGAGTCATACGTGAAAATCACAACTTCAGAAATGTCCCTCTGACATTAGCCACCAGACATCAGAAGATGATTGCTTATCATCTCGATTCTGCTTCCTTTTTTAAGCCTTCTGTAGAGCTAGACAGACAGACTAGTATCTCGATTTCTTCATTTCCAGAGGACTTACAGCAACAACTGTTGGCCAAAAACGGTGACACAAAAGTTGTGTTTTCAGCCAGATCTGTAACCATGGATGGAGTGAAATATGCAGTCGATATGGTTGTGAGCAAAGGTCGTTGTTCAGGGCTCCCAGAATTTGCCCAGATTCAGCATATAGTCATTGTAAAAAATGACATATTTTTTGTGTGTGGAGAGATGCTGGCCTGGTATTATGAACACCTCCGGTCATACCAACTCTGTAAAACTGGCTCTCTGCTTATGGCACAGGTCAAGGATTTGAACGATGTTTTCCCACTCTCTGCCTATAAAGTCCTGGGCAAAATCTTTGTCACCCCAAAACGTTACATTTTTTGTTAACCCTCTATATGGCGAGACACAGCGGGTGAAAAAAAGATTTGGGAGGGGTTATCTGAGGGATTAAAAAAAAAAGAAAAGTAATCATTCCTGATTGAGTTTTGAACAGATATTTTCAATCATGATTAGCAAATGACAAAATATCCCAAAATCAACAAAATAGGACCATAAATATAAACATGACTCTATTCATTGTTTGTTTTGCAAAAATATTGGCTGCCATTTACACCTAAAAATTGCCAAAAACATTTTTCCTTCAATGTCAGTAATCTACTGCACAAGTTTCAAAATGATCTCACTAAATGTAAGTTTCTTTTCCTTTTCATTTGCAGTGTCTCGCCCAACAGAAATATGGACCAATCCTGGCCAGTCAGAGTGATTGTGGGGGACAACAATATTAGAAAAGTGAGATTGCAAGGGAGACCTGAATCAGTGGAAGATCTCATTACACAGTTACAACGACAACTACATCTGGATTACAACTTCTTACTTCACTATGAAGACCCAGACTTCAATAACTTTTGCAACCTGACTGACATGGTGGATCTACCTGATTGTGGGACAGTGAAGATAGTAAATTTAGACAGTGTAGTTGTAACGCTGAGTTCCCCTGTAAATTCCCCCCTGGGTTCACCTGGTGCCTATTCACATACCAGTTCAGCAGATACCATAATACTTACACCTGAGAGCACCTCATCGAGCACCTCATCGAGCACCTCACGGAGCAATCCATGGCCTTCAGAATTTGAAATGCCTTATTTTTCGGTGGACATAGAATACAGGTTGCGTCAAGGCAACCTCATTTACATGAGAGACAACAAACGCATGACAGTTTCACGTGATATGAAGCATGACATTCTGCAAAAACTTGCTGAAGAGATATACAAGTACACAGCTTATCCTGATGATTGGCACTACACAGAGGTTGCCAAGGCTCTGATTTCCAAACACCCATGCCTCCGTGAGCCTGGGTCACCAACTGGTTACTCGGCCTGGGTGAATAGTTTGAAGTTCAAAATGGGCAATTTTCGTTCCAAACTTCGGGATTGTGGAATGGCAGATGTTTTATGCAACAAAAATCCAAAAGGACAAGATGAAGGAAGAGCCGGGAAAACTATCAAAAAGGCTAGAAGAAGCGAGACAAATTTTTTGCCGAATTTCCCTGAGGGCCAGGATGAAGAAGCCCAGGAAAAGGCCAGAGAACTTCTTGCAAATGAGATGAGGAAAAAGAACCCTGATTTACCACTCATAAGCAAACTTATGATCCAAACATTTGCTTTGAGACGCAAAGAAATAATTGAGGATCAACCACCAATTCAGCGGATGCTGGGACGATGGCCAGCTCTATTTACAAAGCAACAAGTAAGTAAATAATTGCATATGTAAAAAGTGTGTGTGGTAAACATCACATGTTTACAAAATATTGCTTGTCTATTTTTTGATCTAGGTTTTAGCTGAATTTACACGTGTGGCCAGCAAAAACCTCGAAAATGATTTTTTCCGGGCTTTGGATAGATTTGTGCCACGGCTACTGGAGCTCTTCAAAGCAAAAAAGGGAAAGGTTGGAGAAACCCTTGAGGGAATCTTGACACGGACCCAAACAACGGCAAGTATATTATTTTTTTTATTCAACTTGGACATGATTAATGCAGCAGGTGGGACATTTTTTATTGTGCAAGATCCTTAAACATGTAATTGCCACTGGTTCAATAGCGGGCGTCTGGGCCAAGATTCTACCTCTGTGAGATTAATCTCTCAACCCCCACCTGAACCAAGCACATTTTATCCAATTTGGCTTTACCCAAATCTAAAAGCTTCTTGAAAAACACAACGAAAGACTGAAAAAAAAGTGACAAAAATGCAACAAAAGAGTGACAAATAACCAACAAAAAAGGCTCAAAAGAGTGACAAAAAAGCAATGAAAAATGTCAAACGGTTGAGACAACACATCAACAATGCAATGAAAAAGATCAGGTCAGTTTTGTAGGTCTTAGCTTTCAAATGAGGCGTTACTCTGGCCTTGAGGCTTTAAACTTTTACATTTTGGTAGAGCTGAACTGGAGAAAATGCACTCGGTTAAGGTGGGGGTTAAAAGTTACTGAAACAGTTTGGTGTCCTATCCGAGTATAAACAATGTAGTCTAAATGCTTGCCAATTAATGAGCTAGAGATGGATATTTTGTCATTTTTATTAATTAATGCATATATTCAAAAATATGTTGTGCTATGGTTGGCAATTTGCAAATATGTAATTTACACATCTTCATCTGTAGACCCATGATGATGTTGCCACCCGGACAGCGGTCTTGAAGTGCCTCCCAGTGTATTTTGGAGACGATTGGGCTGAATTTTACAAAGTCAGCAATGTAAGTATTAGGCTAACTACATTTCCCTTCAAATTGTAAAAGACCAAATGCCAGATTAGGGCTGGGCAATGAATCAAATTTGATTAATTCATACTTTAAAAACAGACAATGTAGAAAATGGCTAAATGATAAAATCGCGTCCGCCGCTCCATGTCCCCCTCACTTTTTCGGAAATAACACCAGTTGAATCCAGCGTCTTTGATCCCAACAATCTCTGCTGCTTCACAAAGGCTACGTGTTAGTGTTTTCGTAGTGCGTAGTTTTCTTCCACTAAAACCATAGTTTTTCCGGCCTGATTCTCGCTCTTTCTCAATTAATTGAATGCAGCGTCTCGCATGCAGCTTAACTCTGCCCCTTGGTGGCAAAAATGTCCACCAGGCAACCCCGAAGCCAACTACAGAGACTAAGTGAAGTACCATCAGAAAGTCTTGTAGAAGGTGTGAATGCAGCTCTGAGAGCAATTCCAACATCAAACATCACAGAAACCAATGAGCTGATATACTCCACAGTAGCAGTGATCCTAGATCTATTCCAAGAGCAACCATGAGATAAGAACATGAGAAACTAGAGAAATACCAGGGGCTCAGAGTTAGAGAAGGCATCAGTGGTGCCCGTGGTCGTTGGGGCACTCAGGGCAGTGACCCCCAAACTGGAGGAGTGGCTACAGCAGATCCCAGGAAATGCATCAGACATCTCTGTCCAGGAAAGTGCAGTTCTCGGAGAACAAAAGCCCTATTCGCACAGGATAAGCATTATCTATGGACCACATGCGATTTGTAATAATCACGGAAAATGTCTGATGTTAAGCCCGTGCAAATGCGCCGTGTCAAGTGATTTGTAAAGTAAAAATTCCCCCACGAATTACCTACTATATTTTGCTGAACTCCGAGGTCCTGTGATAATACTAATCCAATGCAAAAAGGCATGTCTGTGATTTGGACAGAAATGGACGGGATCTGATGCGTGATTTCGCATTGTTTTGTTTCCAGGACGCACGTTTATTTACTTGTACCGCTGTTCACCCCAAATATAGATTAATTGTAAAGTTTCTTCTTGTGTCCAGTGCCTGCTCTTCTTCCTCGCGCCCGCCATGTTGAAAACAATGTGAGCAAATGTTACGCAATACGCAACGCATTAACATCATATCAGGGTGAAGTTCGTAAATTTCAGCAAAATCTTAGGCTTCGGTTATCCTGTGCGAATCCTCCACATAAAAAGCAGACGTCCGGGGGTAATTGTTTTATTATATGGGGTCCCTAGATACTTATCCCATGCGAATAGGGATAACCCTCAAGCAGCTGTTTTTAGATATATTTGGATGAAGACTTGTATTTTATCAGGCAATTAGAAGATGCCAATAATGCAATTGATGAACTAAAACATAAAATTGCACATTTTACTAATTTTTTCCATGTAAATCTATATTTTGCAGTCACCTGATCCTGCTGAAACACAGATGCCGGTTGGCATCTTGGCTGTTGTCCCTGAAGGCGAAACGCTCGATCCTTTGGACCCTCACCTTGATGTCTACTTCATCCAACTAGAAGGTATTGCTGTGATGGATGTTCTCCACAATCTTCCAGAAGCATTTTGCCTCACATTTGGACTAATATACGCACTGCATCTGGAATATCCCAAAAAGATGCGCAACACCTTCGAGTTTGTCCAGAGGGTGATGCTTAACTTGAATGGCGTGGGAAATCTCAGACCAAAGCTTCAAACACTGAAAAATGCACTCGTGGAGTAAGCAGTATATTGTTCCAATATCCCAGTTCTAAACACAGTTGAGTTTATAAGCATCTTTCTACAACTATGAGGTGGTGAACTACTATAAACGGTAGTCCACCACTGTTTTTACATTGGTACAGTTCAATTTTTAAAGTTTTATATGAAACTGAGCATTTTTTCTACTTTTTGCCAGTGTTTTTCCAATGTGTTGAAAACCAAGTCAAATTTTTAAAATTATTTTTAGTTTCTTATTTGCTCTATTGCACATCTCTTATACCTCTGGTTCTCAACTGGCGTAGGTTCAGGACCCACTATTACCACAGGATGACAGGCTGTGACTATATATATATATAATATATATATAATTTTTTTTTATTTTTTATGTACAAAATACTTTATTTTCACCACAAATTAGTGAATAATTATTACACAAGCCATAAAAGCTGAAATTATGTGCCTAAATTTTGAAAAATGTTTTCTGGGAAAGGCTTACAACCCACTTTTGGATCCCAACCCACCAGTTGAGAATAACCGTCTTATACAATATACTGGGACAGTGTCGTTTTTTTTTTTTTTTTTTGGAAAGAAATTCGGTACAGGTTCTTTATAAAGTTCTATTTGAAACTCAGCATTTTTTCCCCTAGTTGAATGACAATGTTTTACAATTTGTTCAGCACTCATGTACACTTTTTTGCCTTGTTGGCCACAAAAAAAGGGTTTAATTTCTGTTTTATTTCACCTTTCATACAATATACTTAGACTGTTTTTTTTAAACAGGTTCTTTACAGCTTATTTTTTTTTTGCAATGCTGATCGATGCAATTTCATGATCTGTCTGGATTTTAACATGACCTATGCATGGAATCGGATAAACCCAAATATAGCAAAACCGTATTCCAATATACAGTGGGGACAAATACAAAATTTGAGAGTGGAAAAAAAAAATCTCATTTATAAATTTACAGTTGATCTTGTTGGGGGATAAAGTATTTGAACAATTACAAAAGTAGAACTTAATATTTGGTGCAGAAAACCTATGTCTGCAGTGACGGAGGTCAAACATTTCCATTGACCACTTTTTCCATACTGTAGCAGAGATTTTGTCCCAGTCTTCCATTGAGATCATCTCTAGATCTGTCAGGTTTTGGAGATGTCACTTGGCAACATGAATTTCAATTCCCTCCAAAGGTTCTCTGTTGGAATGAGATGAGATGAGACTGAGGCCATTCCAGGACCATGAAATGCCTCTATGTAGCCACTTTATGTGGTTTTCCTGACTTTGTGCTTGGGGTTATTGGGGTCTTCCCTCAGTATGAGATGGATCAGGGCTGGGTCCTTTCAGTTTTGAATGACCCCAAACACAACCAGGACTATACTCTAGTGGCACTGTGAGAAGCATTTCAAGGTCCTGGAGGCACATCAATCTCCCGACCTCAACTCAAAGATAATCTGTGGAGGGAGTTGAAACTCATGTTGCTCAGTTACAGCTCTGAAGCCTGAAAGATTTGGTAAAGATCTGTATGGAGGAGTGGCTCAAAATCCCTGCTAGAGTGTGGGCAAACCTATGAACCACAGGAATTGTTTGATCTCTGTAACTACAAACAATAGTTTATGTACCAAATATTAATCTCCACCTATATTTAAATACTTGTTTTTAACAAGACTACATACATTAATTTAAAAATCATAACATTTCCTGTTTTTTCTACTGTCTCAGTTACAGTATGCCTTGTAAAATTACAGACCTCTTAGATCTTTTAAAGTGAAACAACACAAAGCAGCACAATTGGTCAAATATGTCACTTAATTTCCTGTCCATTTTTTAATTTTTTCTTTCATCAAAGTATATTGTGTGGTGTCCATGTTGGAGAGGTGGTTTGGGGACGTGTCTGGGCCCTGAGAGTCATGTTTGTGGCTGTGTTCTGTCATTCTGACAAAGAATAAAGTTGATTCAGAATCTTCAGTTGTCTTTACTGTGTTTGTTTAAGGCAATCAGTTTCCTGGAGTGGCGTTAGTAAATGAGCTTATGATTTAAGTAGCACAAACTTGGCTACCTCAGTATATAATACCTAAACAGTCTAAGTTAAATTTACTTGCAATGTGCAAGTATTCAGCAGCTAGAAAATCCTATTAAACACTACTGATATAAAAGTTAACTTTGCCTGAAATGGGTGAGTTACCATTACTTGAAGACAAGTATTTTGTAATGGCAATTTTCAACTAAGCACTACTGGTATCTCAGTTTACATTACTGCAAACTGATGAGTTACCAACACTTGGAGACAAGTATTTAGTATTAGCGATTTTTAAGTAAACACTACTGTATCGAAGTCAACTTTACTTGAAATTAATTGTTAATATAACTTCAAAACAATAAGCCACATACACTTATCTCTTTCAAGGCAATCGGTTTCCTGGATTTGCTCAAGTAAAGTCCACATATTATTTCTTTCAGTGTGGAGTGTATTATCCAGAATGTCTCTTTACATTCTATAGTTCTTATATAACACTTTTGACTATGGTTAAAGCTGTACTTGTCATTACAGCAGCCTGTAAAAGTCAGTGATTTTCCACTTGATGTTTTGATTATCTGAAGGTCAAAGCTAATATATCTATTGGCGCCGTGGCAGATGCTAAGAGGAGCGTCCTTGATTTGTCTGGTTCAAATTCACATTCGCGGTGCAAAACTTTGGTTGCATCTTTTTTACCAAGAATAAAATGTTATCTGCTGTGACACAATCCCATCGTGTCATTTTCTTCAATTCTAGTTGCCTCAATAGTAAAGTTACATTATGCGTGTGACAAAAAACGACAGACGATGCGGAGGTCTGGGATTGTGTCAGACATATTTTTTAGTTGATGGAAAAGACATGACCAAAGATTTTACAGCTTGCATGTCATCTGCGACGGGCAAATAGGTATGCTAGTTTGACCTTCAGGTAACCAAAATATTCAAGCGGAACATAATTTGAATCCAACAATGCCAGGTGGTCTAGGGACCAACCAAAAGAATTTATAGAATAAGGCGGTACAATTTGGGAGATATAGGTGACAATTTATTTTACATTTTATTTTGATAACATTTAAAAACTCTAGGCCTATGAGAAAACATGGGAGAACAAAAAGCAAATTACAGGAAAGCCCTGCACGGGCCTATTATCTGGGCCCGGTCCTGACCCAAGGGGGTGGCGCCCCAGCCTGCCCCCGGCCGACATGGTTTCTGACTTCTCAGGCCCAAAACCCGTATCAAGCCTGACTTCTTTTCTTTTTTTTTTAACCTCCCATAACAATGTTTTAGCGTAGTATACAGTGCAGCGCACTGATATGAACACAGGAGTTATACATAGTAGTGATGTGTTGCAATGAGTTCTGTGTGTACAGAGTGAACAGCCGCAGCTGCGTGACACCCAGATGCCGAAATAAACTACAACACACTTGAAGGTAATGCTATGTGTTGTCAATGACAATTCTATACAGAACAACAAATACTAAGGCATGATAGAATGCTATATTCATTGGGTACGTTCGTAAATGTAATCTGCCGCAGTGCCCGAGCCCGGCGCGTGTCCGAGGTAATTAAACGGTCATCGGGCCGAAGCCCGGCCCTCAGGCTGTCGGGCCCCTCGGGCCAAGGGCTCAAGTGCAGGGCTCTAAAGCACAGTAAATTATATGGAACAAAATCATCCAATCAAAACTAAAACAGCAAGCCATGCAAATAACGCAAAATAAAATAGAAGTAGTCACCCTAAAAGCTAGGCAAAGTAAATGAACAAAAAATCAAGATAAACTCAAACAAATCAGAATAAACCTAAATGAAAGAGTCCAGCGATGAGTTCAAGCTGCAGCTGCGCATTTGGAGCCAGAAGGCCACACAGCGTGCGCGTTCTAGCGTTCCTAGTCAATACTACATACAAAGATGACAAAACATGACAAAACAGCGGCTCCTTTCCAGGGTGGCAGCTCTGGGTCTGTACCGCACATAGTGTAGAGCCTGAAGAGGGAATGTGGATACCCGGCTTGTACCAGCTTTGTACTCAGCTGGAAAAGATGAAAGGCTGGACAACGAGCAACTTACCTGGAGTGTGGAGCCCCAAACTCACGGCAAAAAGCCGAAACGTTGCTCCCACACGCCCTAATGTGCTCCAGACCAAATAAGCTGCCGGTCACCAAGGGCACTACCACCGCACTCAGGCCAAGACACATGTGTGCACGGAACACGCACCTGCTTCATCTTGCAGTACGATGCACGCCGACATGTCACATTAGGTTTAACCAAAATTGCTTCAAAAGTGTTATAAGAGATCCAAAGGTGGCAGAAGCTGGAGTCTGCACCCATCAGCCCAGTGGTGATCATGTGTTTGTATCCATGGGGAAGACACATCGACCACTTTGCTTTATGAACATTCAGTGTGATAATGTTCAAAGGATGATATGGTACTGATAGGTTATTTTGGAGTTTTCAGCTGCCCTTTCTCTCCCAGTCTGACATAAAGTTGATGACCAAATCACACTGAACTAGCTATGTCTCAACAAAAACGAAGTCTTTCTTTGCAAAACGTCTTGAAAATTAGTTATTATCTGCCTAAATTAGATTCAAGCGCACATTCTTCTTCCTCAACGTTGCAATTATACGTCAACATCTACATTTATAATCAGCAGGCATTTACGAACATGGCGTACCATTAATTATCCAGAAAGCACTGCTCATCTAAACATCTAATCAAGCATTTGAGACTTGATTAGTCTATTCAGCAGTCTCCTCTGTGCCCATTTAGATAAGTACACTGGCTTTTTTTCCCTCAAGCAAAGCCTAATGTAACGGATTATCTGGGCAGCCACATAAAAGGTTTGATCTCCTTGCACCTGGCTTGTGTCGTTGTCCCTTTGATATCTGCCACACTGCTTTTTTTTTTCGTTCTTAGCAGCCACTTATAAAGATCAGTCTTGTCGTTTTCTTTGAGGGTAAATTGACAGTAATTAAAAAGGTTGAATGAGGAGTTTTGGTTTTGTGTCTGGAGAAAGTGAGCGAGAGGGAACACAATGTGAAACCACAGTTGGAACCTGGTCCAAAAGATCTCTGTCCGTCTCTCACAGCTAGAGTTGTTGATGATGAAAGACAGATAGATTCTGCTCATGTATACAACATATGACAACCGTGGATCATTTTCAACATTGTAAATGGGATTTTAAACGGCATCACAGCAAAATACAGCAAAACTGAAAGCAAAGAGGATTTGTTTTCACCTGTATCAAAACCTTCATTCAAATGATCTTGCATTAGAAAATGTAATACAATTATTTGACTTATAACTAAATTAAATTCATGCATACATTTAAAGAGCGACTAAACACCAAATCAACTTTTTTTTAACTCATAAACTGCATAAATATGTGTATTTCAGTACTCTCTACATATCCTGGTCATTTTCTTGACATTTTAGTTCAAATTAAATAAAATATCACATTTGAGCCAAAAAACGCTGTGTGGTGCCCTCTCTACCTTTCTGGTGGTACTACATTTGAATTTGGTTCTGGCCTCTCCATTGACTCTGAAGTTCTCTATGACATCAGTTGTTTTGTGTGACGTCAGTCTGTCAGAGCCAGTGATATAAACCCATCCAACTCTCACACACGCCCCAGCTGCAGTTTGGAGTATTCTGGCGCCATCTAGTGGATTAAAATTAAATTACATGAGTCATTCTGAGATTATTGAGTGTGATTAGGTTCAGGTGTGTAGCTTTACAATTATCTTAGTGTGTAAACAAGGGTGGAATGAGACTTTCTGGTCTGTAAACTATTGCTTTAAGCAGCAATGACAACTGTCTGTTTTTTTTTTTTGTGACAAGTCAGCTGTCAATCACAGCCCAGACCACGCCCAACTCTAAGCCCCCCTTCTTGTCCCTTGGTCCTCCAGGCAACGCCCTTTTTAGAGAACATTTTCAAATCTTCATGTGGGCGGAGTCAGGCTGGGCACAGGTGTTTAGTCGCTCTTTAAGGAATGAGTGGACTTCCAATCTTAAACCAGGTCTTAAACTTAACATCAAAGAACATTTATGCATGATTCATAAAGCAATTCATTTATCAACTTTATCAACATTTAGGAAATTTTTAACAGAGAATTTCTAACAGAGAATTTCTTGTATTTTAACTGTTTGATTCTCTGATGTGTGTTGGCAAATTCAACAATTTCGTAAATACAAAAACACATTGAATTCAATTCAAGTAATTTCCTGTTAGACTAAATGTGGACTGACTCAAAGTCAGCTAAACTGGTAAACCAAATCGTCACGAACTGTCACACACTATAAGTAGACATCAGAGAGCAGTGTGATGTCTGTGAAATACCAGTTTAGATATGAGCTTGGAAATAGACCAGATGTGTGGAAATACAAGTGTGAACTGCGTGAAGAGATAGAGCAGCATAATACTGTTATGGAGAGAAAAGCAATATGAGCAAATCTGTCACCAAATCCAAAAGCCTTGGTTCTCAGCTGCAGCATTATATGTTGAAACTCTGAGAGGCTCCATGATGAGTGTCAGGACAGATTGTATGACCATCACCTCTGCAGATGATGGGTCTGCAAACCTCATCACACTGTCACCGAGTCCCGCTCCGGCGTCATGGCACCAGCATCTGTCCTGTCTGCGCCCTCTGCACCCTGCCAAAGTCAAAGCTGTGGGTGTCACCAACAGCCAGACGAAAATCAGCATGACACATCTCTTCTTGCTTCATAAAGTCTTTGATTCTCTAAGCTGCAAACAATAATCCCAAGTTCAGTAAATGTTAGCTGTAATTACATTTGTTTGCAACAGAAAGGAACATTTATTTTAAGCCACCATTTATGAATGAACAACTTGTGAATGTTGTTTTCAGGCCTTCAGCCATGTGGGATGGAGGCCTATTTGGTGTTCACCCTTCTGGGCACGTTCACACTTGTTGGTCTGGTTCACTTGAGGGGAAAAGCTTCAAATATGTTTCAAAAGTTGAAAGATGTAAACTTCATGTTCCATGTGCACTTCTCTGGTTGAATTTCAAGAGAGAACACTCTCTTTGTTTAGGCTGCTCCACACTTTTAGAAAATATTTTTTTATTCTGAGCTAAGTTAATAATCTAATTTGTAATTAAACTGTACAGATTGCAGCAGTTCATTCATGTGTGAAACATTTCTGAACATTGTTTATTTAGTTACGGTAACTTAGAATTACACTTAAAAACTAACAAAAGCCACCATTTAAGGTTATGACTGATTTTCCAGCTTCAACCAATGTTGATTCAGCATTTTGACAAAAGTTATCATAATTTGTTATTTGTTTGGAATATCTGTATATTGTAGTCCCCAATTTGACAGTGACAACGATGGAATTGTTTAAAAAAAAATGTACTTTAGGTTTAATGATTCACAAGGGAAATTACTTGAAACCTGTTTTTGGTAATTAAGTCTTAAATGAGTAAAAATCTGAAATGCAGTTTAACCAGTTTGCATTCTAATCAGTGAATGTTGTATTTGTCTATTATGTTCTAGGAGTCAAGAAAATAGCAGTAAGGCTATTCTAAATTTTTTAGTTATTTTGCTAATTATTCATTTTGTTGTTACATTTTTTTTTCCTTTTCAATACTTGATTATAGGCCTGAAGAGAAGGATGTTTCAAACCAAAACATCTACTGACTGATGAAGTCATATTTGAAGGTATTGGATTTACTAGGAAACTTTACACAACTTATTGATAATTAAAAGCAAACTTTCTGTTATGAATTCATTATTTAAGTTGTGTCTTTGCGCACTAAGCCTGTAATAGACTGCTACTAAACCGGAGCATTTAAGCCTCAGTCTTGCTCTGTTTTCCTGCTCTCTCGTTCACAAAGTCCAGCTAATTACCGGCGTGTCCCTCGCTGCTGCCCTTACATTCATCCCAGTGGTTTTCATTTATGAGAGAGACCGCGAATCAATGTGTATGAATCGTTGGGATTTTCCACTGCTGTGAACAGCTGTGTCATGTGTTCTGTTCCACAAAGCACAGCCTCAAAAGCTCCTCCAACACACGGCTACATTTACAACAAGTTCGCGGCAAGTTCTAGACAAGTTCATTTCAAAGTGCTCTTTCTTTCAATGTTGTGCTCTTTCTTTCAACTTTGTCCCAACCGAAAGAGTCTCATAAAGATTTGTTTTTGTTAACTTCAGACATAAACATTTAATATTCTCCAGCTATAGTAATTGTGAGAACTCAAAGTGCTGAGCAAAACAAGATAATAACTGCATTTTCTCAATTACACTGGTGAATTATTAGAAGTTTTGAAAAAATGTATACTCTGCATATCGAGGGCTCCAAAACTGGCTGTAATCTGAGGGGGCCCTGCATGTGTTTGGAAGGATTACTGGAGGCAATTAGGTTGTCAGAGGTGTAGTTTAAAAATAGCCTTTTCACTCCATGCAATAACACTTTAAATTGCTGTTTTTTGCGCTCTCCATTAGATTGGTAAAACATATATACTTATCACACGATTTTTGTGCTTGTTTTGTTTATTTACAATGCTTGGAAATGATCCAATGTCTGAATGTGAACAGTTACCAGCCTTTAAAGCTGGGATACCTAACTTGGAAAATACATTCTTAAATCAGACATCAACATCCTGTTCTTTTTAAGTGAGTCACTAATGCGTCACTTTTCTTTGTAAATCTTATCTGGTGATATTAGTGATAGCCTGTTTGAGAACAAGGTGTCATGAGGTGAGATGATGGAGGACTCAAAATAATGGTTTAATGAAATAAAGTCCAAAGTAAAAATGAAACTCAAAAATCCGAAGGAACAGGACAAGAACAGGACAAGACAGGTGTTGACGAGACAATGGACCAGCAATAAGGGGAGAGAAGCACAGGGTACATATAGACAGAGGGAGACAGGTGAAACACATCAGGGCGGGGCAGACAATCAAGACAGGGGAAAACAGGACATCAAAGTCAAAATAAAACCAAAATACAAAATAACTAAAACCACACCGTGACACAAGGAGCTAATTAGATGAATGTTTTTATTCTTTTGCAGTTTGAAAAGTATCCCAGCAGACTATAGCCTATAAGTGAGTATGTACAGGTATATAGCCTATACTGTGATGCCAAATTGCCGCTACAATTTGGCAAGACACCATTCTCTGTTTATGCTGCTTTTAACTTGTATTCAACTGTATTTTAACTTGTGTTTTACCTGTTTTTATCATTATTATTGTTATTATTAAGTATGTGATGTCATAGCTTCATAAAAAATAATTATGTGTTATTATGTATTTTTTTTTAACAATGGTGTTTACCAGTGATCCATCATGAGACCTGTAGATAAAATACAAATCCTGAAAACAGTATGAGACATTTCAGAAGCATCAACATTTTCTCAACCACACTGTTGGGATTGAGATGTACAGAAAGTGAGAATCCAGGCTGTGAAGGAAAGGCCATTTCTGTGACATCACACCCTACTTGCTTATTCAGATGTAATGCCCCCTGACAGCTAAATGACAGGATAGCTCCATAACCCCACAGCACAGGGGCGCTTGCAGTGCTGCGGACCACACTTTCAGGACAGTACACTCACACAGACACAGTGTGAAGGGGCAGAGCATGTCAGGTGCATGTGGCGCTCCGTGACAAGCACACTGGTTATCCTGCTGGTCACTGAGACAGATGGAACTCCTGAAAAGTGCAGCTCAAAGGGAGGTCCTCAATAACAGACTATGATAAATCCTTTGAGAAGAAGACTCCAGTCCAAAAAATTAAGGTATATAGTTTGAGTTTATAGTTGTGAACTCACTGCTGCTTCTGTGGATTATAGAAATGGCTTGAAGCTGGATTAGTTGATGCTCAACTAATGCTTTCCTCTAAAAACAGTTTGGTTCTATCATATGTTTTCTTTGAATTTATATTTATGGCCACTGTCACATCTTTCACACAGTTAATCAGAACTCGCCATTGCTTAAGCCGTTCCCTGCGCACAGGAAGTGAAGTGGGATTATAACTAAAACAGGAAGTGGTGCGTGCACAGAGCCCATTCACTTTTTAGCAATTTATCCACATTGTTCTCAGAAGCTAATAATTTCATCCTCTGCAGTTTCTGATATGTCCTCAATAACAACAGCAATGGAGATTTTGATTCTGTATTTCACAAATATAGGCATTTGGAATTCTGAATATTTGGAATTAATCAATGAAATCCAATTCACATGTTTTTTAGTGGGAAAGAAAACCCATAGAGACATGGGCAGAACATGCAAACTCCAAACAGAAAGCCTTGGAGATGGAAACGAATCTCGGACCTTCTTGCTGTGAAGGATAATTATTGTGAGGCAGACAATCACAGGATCAGGAAATGAAACTCAAAAGGACAAACTATTACAATATCAGGTGTTTTTGACTTCCGAGGCAAAGATCATGCTCTTTGTATAAGAACATGAGAAATATGAAGAGTTCTAGAGCGTCGACTGTCTAAAGCAGTTTTTTGCATTGAATTTGCATAAACTCTTCCATGAGAAACACATCATTCACCCACAAACTTTTAACATTACTACTTTGGACGAAAATATATTTTCAGTTCTGGCTGTGAAATGAACCCCTCACACTCCCAGCTTTAACCTGGACCCTCATGTTAAAGCTGGGGTACGTAACTTTATTTATACTTTACAGAAAAGCATTTTGTTTGACCCGAAAGAAAGTCTTGCTGTCTTTGTGTTAGAAAACATATTATCTTTTGCATACTTTTGCGAAAGAGCCGTGAGTCAATATTTGACGCTTTGACTGAGAGCTGATTGGCTGACTGAGTCCTCTCTTTGTTACTAAAAATGAGGCCCAAAAATGAGTGATAGAACCAGACAGACGCCACCATTTCTCTCAAAGTCAACATCTGGAGCTGCGACATAGAGTTGAGGCTTCTCTCTCGGTGTTGTGGGTATTGACGTGTTAGCTGGTGTTAGCGTGTTAGCTGATGTCCGTAAAAAATAATCCATCTTGTCAAACCACCTCCAGACTTTTCAGTTCTGTTCACTTTTGCGGCTGGGATCTTTCATTTCACGGTAGTCACTTTTACGCTTTTTAACTTTTCTCTGCACTGCGATGTCCGTGATATCTATTCTTTCGCCCGTAGCGCTACCTTCGCTAACACTTATTTACACTCACTCGGGTGGCACCATCGAGCTCAGACTGACAGCTTCCGCAAACGAGTCAAACCCGGTCGGACCATAGATCCATGACTCCAGCCCGTGGAATGTTGAGTTCTTGAAGATTGCTCCGCGTCTGAACCGAGTCAGAGTCCTTAAAATCAGAATTACTGTCATGAAAAGTACGCAAGGGCTCATAAATAAAAACCCCTGACTTGTATTGTCCATCACTGAATGAGAAATATCTGTTTAAAACGTCCGTATACAACGTTATGGCTTACAAAGGCATATCAACAAAGCCCAAAGACCCCTACGTGTACGTCACTTCCGGTCTCGGCAATTTTTCCGCAAATTTCTTTTTGCATGATAAATATTGATTGAAACCGCTAAGGGAATGAGTTTATTTAACACAAAAAAGACCACAATATACCAACAAAATAGGAATAGGTCCCTTTTAATACCACAGCTGTTTTTGGTATAACCTCAAAACCAAATGATTTTACTGTAAGACTTAGAAATATGTGTTTGCATGCTTCATACTGGGGAGCTTTGATTAAAAATGCTAGAATTGTTGTCAAATCTGCGATACCATAAACAGTTTAGAAGTCAAATTGTCAACGAGAGACAGAATATACATTTGCTACAGAGATAGAGAGAAACCAGAGAGAGAGACTTTGTGGAAAAGTAAAAACATTGTCGAGTTAAATTTGTGTGAAAAACGTTTATTGTTCCTCAGTTATTACTGGAGGCAAAGTCCAGAGAAGTCTTCCACAAATGCATTAGTACAGTCCATTGTTGTCGAGTCTAAAGCCAAAAACAGTCTCATAGTTTCTTACTGAGTCTATGACACTGTTTTAAACCTAATTGTCCTAACCCTAACCCTAACGACACGGATTGGAACATTCTTACAGCTCACACGCCAGAACCAATCCGCCAAACTCAAACAAGCAAAGAGAGGCTGTTGCTTTGCTCTGACTGATCTACACCAGGAAGACCAACTGGTTTTACAGAGGTCTCGCTGAGGTTTTCCTTCCAACCAAACAGGAACACTTCAGACTACACTCATTTCATCAGGTCTTCAGGTCGAGCCTGGACCTGGGGCCATGAGGAGTCTGGTCCTGCTCTGTCGGACTGAGACCTCAGCCACACCTCCTTCTGAACCCGCCAGACCCCCCTGATCTCCAACGCGGTCTGGAGACCCAGACTCGTTGGAGGCCATTTTGTGCAGAATCAGCAAAGCAGCATCTGCAGGTGTTTGTGTTGCCTCAAAGCTCCAGAAGCACAAACAGCCGAACAAACTCTCCAACACAACCCAAACCCAACCTGGCAACCCCTTCATGGATCCATGAGGGGGTTGCCAGTTATGGCTGATGCACTCAGCCAATGGAATGCTCGATTTTAAGTTTTTGTTTTGTTTTGTTTTTTTAAGTTCGTTTTTGTTTTTTTTAGATTTTTAAGTTTTTTTTTTTTTTTTTTTTTCAACCAGGAACGTCCCACTGAGATTTCAGAATCTCTTTTTCAGGGGCGTCCTGGCCCCTCAGATAGAGGATCTATTGTCCATGTTTTTAGTTGTAGGGGAAACCGGAGCACCCGGAGGAAACCTACGCAGACACGGGGAGAACATGAAAACTCTACTCAGAAAGGTCCTGTGTCTGTGAGGATTCGAACCCAGGACTTTCTTGCTGAGAAGCACGAGTGCTAACCACTCGGCCACCGTGTCGCCCGAAGGGATTTACTTACTTGCGACTGCACCTGAAGTTTGCAGCCTTTTGTTTCGTCTTCTCCTGTAGTTCTTTAGCTCGTTGTTCCTCCTCCTGAACGTCCTGGTCTTTCTGAGCGAACAGTTGGACCAGGCTCTTAACGTTTAGACCTAGCACCCTGCGCACCTGTCTAAAGTCTACGGATTCTGGCTCAGGTTCAGACGCGCTTTCATTGCTGACTATAGCTTCTATCGCGGTCTCTTTCTCTGTCCCTGACGCGGCCCCTATCTGAGTTTCTATAGCGGCCTCTAACTCTGTCTCTTTTGCGGTTTCTACCTTGCTCTCTATTGTGGTCTCTATCACGGTCTCCACCTCGGCCTCTGTCTCTAACTGAACAGGCTCCTTCATAAACTGAAGAGTCTCCTGTTTAAGACGAGTCAGATCGTCTTCTAACTTTGTGATGTCGAGGGTTATGGACTCGTTAGCCTCCATCACAGCCTTGAGCTGACAATCTTTCTCTGGTAACTGGAGCTGCCTCTGTCTGAGTTCTTCTAGGATTCTGTTGGCTTCCTTCCACTGCGCATCTCGCTCTCGTGTCAAACCCATCAAACGCCTCATTCTGGTCGTGGCGACTTCTATCTGATCTTTGACCTCAGTTACGGTCTGATCCTTGGCATTCTGCTGCACCAGGATCTTGATCTCTACCTCTGTCTCTATTTCAGTCTCTATCCCGGCCTGTAACTCACCCTCTACTTCTGTCTCTATCCCAGCCTCTACCTCGGTCTCCACCTGGGCCTCCACCTCGGCCTCAACCTCGGCCTCAACCTCGGCCTCCACCTTGGCCTCCACCTCGGCCTCCACCTCGGTCTCTGCCTCTAACTGAACAGTCAGATCGTCTTCTATACTTCTAACCTCGAGGGTCATGGACTCGTTAGCCTCCGTCAGAGTCCTGAGCTGACGATCTTTCTCTGCTAACTGGAGCTGCGTCTGTTTGAGCTCTTCTTCGAGGCTTCTGTTGGTTTCCTTCCACTGTGCCTCTTGCTCTCGCGCCAAACCCATCAAACGCCTCATTCTGGTCCTGGTGACTTCTATCTGATCTTTGACCTCAGTTACGGTCTGATCCTTGGCCTTCTGCAGCGCCAAGATCTGTTCATCTCGAACCTTGAGTACTTCTTGAGCTCGTTTGAGCTGCTCTCGAAGACCCTCCTGCTCGGCCCTTCTCGCTGTGGTCTCTTCAGTCATTGTTCGGATCAAGTCCTTGTCTCTGGCCACGCTGAGCTGCAACTGGAGCAGCTCAGGACTGACGTCCGTCTGCGTCTCGACTTCTGCAGTCGACGCATTCTTTGTGTCAACGTTAGCGATCGATTCTCTCAGAGCGTTGAGCTCATGATCTTTCGCGTCTAAAGCGTCTTGAGCTTGCCGTATCTCCAACAGAAACTCTCTTCGCGCCCGGTTTGACTCTATCCTTCTCTGCTTAGCTTCCTTCAGCAGATCTTCAATCAGATTGGTCATATTTACCTTCTGATGCGCAGCTATCTCCTTCACCTCTCTCAGTTCTTGCCTGTTACTTCTCAGAAAGGCTTCTCTGAACTCTTCTCTGAATTGTTGGAGCTCCTGCTCCATTCCCCATTCTCTCTGATTAATATACTTCTGTAACTCCTCGTTTTTTTCCCGATAATCGGCTAAACGTGCGCTACAAGCACACTCATGTACCTGTTGTCTGTTATTACGCCTCCACATCCTGTTTTTGTTTAAAGTATATATAATATACAGTTAAGTGGGAAAAGGGGGTATTATCTGTAAATATACTGTATATATGTCTAACTACATTACCGCATGTAGAGAATCAGCTTCTTAAAAGCCTCTCTCGGGGGTAAAAGTTGGAGCAATTTTTGAAGTTAGGGCTAAGGATTGGAGTAAGCAGTAAAAAGATGTAAAAAGCACTGGGGTCAAAGTCCCACAGCCGATCTCTTCCCTCCAGATACATCCAAGTGTTCCGGAACCTTGACACATCACTTAGAAGAGGGTCCCATGGAAACTGTTACCATGGAAACCTGTCATGTTTGTCCATTGGAAAATATCACAATATAAACAGCAGGATTGCGATCTGCTTTTTCCCCTCAGAGATGTTGAATCATCTGCATAACACAGATTCTGAAAAGAAAGTAAATGATTATGTTTTAACATAACATTATAAATAAACTATGAAAATAAAGAATTGCCAATAAAGACAGGTTAACCATTGTACATTAATTATTATTATTTTGTTAGTCGTTAATTAAAATTTTACTTGTCTTTGGCCTCACCTTAGTTTAGCCCTCACTAGCTAACAGCCAATCTGAGACTTTATTGTTTTAAGAGCGTCTGTATAATTTATGCTAGTAGCTTTAGCCATATTTTGCAGCTCGAAAAGATACAACATTGTTTTCATTTTAGCAAAGTGCTCAGAAGAGACAGTCGAGAGCTCGCACATGGAAAAGGTATCGTCTGTTTTAGCAGTGACAATTGTGTACGGCAATGACGGCTGCAGTGTTAGCATCGTGACAAGTGTGTCCTAAAAACGGATTCTGGTTTTGAAACAATGGGCCATATGCACGGGGAGGCGTGACGTCATTTCCTGTTAACAAAGCACAGCCCGTTCACTTCCTGTCTATGCTATCCTATGGCTTTTAGGTGAGTTGAAGTGACGTTTTTTAGTAATTAGATCGATACATTCAGCTGTGAGACTGACCCAAAAGTGTCGCTGTGCTTTCTCTCTGAGGTAGAGCTTTGACTGTGGCCACTCAGAGCGATTTTTAAACTTTATAAAAACACAATGACAGCACAGTCAAAGAGCACTACTGTGTCCCAAAAATGCCCAGTATCCTCACAGTTTAATTCCTGTTTGAGCATTATTTAGGAAACTCATGTCCCTTCCAAGATGGCGAAACTCATGTCCCTTCCAAGATGGCGCCGTGACTGGCAGTGCCATGGCCCGTCTCCTGCTGTATAGATTTTTGATGGCCTTCTTCACAATTTATGTAATCATAACAGCCTGTATTGTATCTGAATGTGTCTCCGCTTTACGGATCTATGATCGGGATTCTCTATTTCGGATCAAAGACTTGATGGAGTTATAGCTATAGTTAGGTCTCAGAGGCGTATTGTATCCGCTAATACTGCAGACAATTTTTCCTCCATGTTTGATTCTCTGTTGTTTACGGACTGCCTCGATGTGGACAACTTCGTGCATTCGTTTAGTAATCATTGTACTAGTATCTTGAACTGTGTGGCCCCTATTAAAATTAGTTTGTCAACACAGGAAAAAGCCTGCCCTTGGACAAATGAAAATACTCTAAGTCTAAAGAGGCTATGTCGCAGGACTGAACGTTTGTGGAAATCAACCAACCTGGAGGTGCACAGACTCCATCTTAGAGACCTTATGGCCTCATACAATGAAATGGTTGAAAATGCCAGATCTGACTTTATTTGTCAACTGGTAACTGTAAACAAGAAAAACCCCAAAGTTCTGTTTGACACGATAAATTCTCTTGTTTGTCCGGCTGTCCCAACTGCCCCTGTCACTTGTGAAGCTGACAGCAACGCATTTTTGAGGTTTTTTATGGACAAAATTAAGCGGATCAAAGAAAATATCCCTCCCGTTTTGAGTGGTGCTCCTGCTGTTACTGAGCCGGTCTCCAGCCTGTGGTCCTCTTTCAAGTCGGTGACACTTGCTGATATTTCTGCACTGGTGACCCTCCTCTTGTCCATCTGACATCATTCCATCAAGACTCTTTGTGAAAGTGTTTGATGTTATTGGCCCCTGGGTTATCAAAATGATTAACCTCTCCCTTTCTACAGGCGTGTTTCCTAAAGAATTTAAACATGCCACAGTGGAGCCGTTACTAAAGAAGACAGGCTTAGATCCAACTGATCTAAATAATTTCAGGCCGATCTCTAAACTTCCACTCTTGTCCAAGATCCTAGAGAAGGTAGTGTCTGAACAGCTCTCAGCTTTTCTGGATCAAAATGACATCCACAAGAAATTTCAGTCTGGTTTTTGCCGACACCATTCCACGGAGACAGCCTTACTGAAAGTGTCCAGTGATATGATGGCAGCAGATTCTGGAGAGTGCACTGTTCTGGTTCTTCTGGATCTGTCCGCGGCGTTCGACACCGTCGACCACCAGATCCTCCTGCGAAGACTGAGGGATGGAGTGGGACTGTCGGGGTCAGTGCTTAAATGGTTTACTTTGTACTTATCTGGACGCAGTTTTAGTGTCGCAGCAAACCAGATATATTCTGAGTCAGCAGATTTGTTGTGTGGTGGCCCCCAAGGTTCCGTTTTGGGTCCGCTACTTTTCCTGTTGTACTTGACCCCCTTGGGAAAGATTGTCCGGAGATTTCCTGGCATCTCATTCCACATTTTTGCTGATGACATCCAGCTATACTGCTCTTTCAAGCCTACCGAGCTCCAGAGGCTAAACTCCTTGGTCCATTGCTTGGTCGAGATAAAACAATGGCTGAGTGACAACACTTTGCAGCTCAACGCTGACAAAACAGAAACTCTGGTGATTGCCCCTGATGACCACATCCCAGGGATAAACCAGGGCCTAGGTGACTTAGGCCAGTCAGTTAAACTGAGCCTCAGAAACTTAGGTGTTATTTTTGATAAGGACATGTCGTTAGTGCAGCACTGTAAACAGCTGACCAGGAACTGCTTTTTTCTGCTGAGGAGAATCTCCAAAGTCAGGAAAATGGTTTCACAGAATGATTTGGAGGTAATCATTCATGCATTTGTGTCTTCGCGTTTAGACTATTGTAATGCTCTGTTTTCATGTTTAAACAAGAAAGAACTGTCTCGCCTGCAGTTAGTGCAGAACTCTGCAGCGAGAATCCTGACCCGCACCAGCAGGAGGTCGCACATCACCCCTGTCCTGAAAGCTCTTCATTGGCTGCCACTGTCCTACAGGATACATTTTAAAATTCTGGTTTTAACCTTCAGAGCTTTGCACGGTCAGGCCCCGTCTTACATCAGTGACCTGATCCAGCCTTACACCCCAGCCAGGGCTCTGAGGTCTGTGGATCAGAACCTCCTGATGGTTCCACGCACTCGCTTCAAGACCAGAGGAGACAGGTCGTTCCAGGCTGTTGCTCCCAAGCTTTGGAACGTTCTCCCGCTCTCTCTGCGTTCTATAGAGTCTGTTGAGTGCTTCAAAAGTCAACTTAAAACCCATTTATTTGTTCAGGCTTTTGCGTAAGTTTGTCTTGCTGTATTCTTTTACATGGTTGTCTTGGCCTTTAAAAATGTGTATGTCTAATTTATATGTCTGTTTTTATACTGTGTGAAGCGCTTTGTGACCCTGGTCTGTGAAGGGCGCGATATAAATAAAGTTTACTTACTTACTTACTTACATCTGCTGAACTCCAGTGAAACTTAAGAAAAGACTCACAGTGCTCTTTCTTACAAAAGATAACATGTTTTTGATTTTGTCCCAACCGAAAGTTGTTAACTCCAGACGTCAACATTTAATATTCAATATTAGCTGGAATTGGGTTGGGACATATTCAGTTTATCATTTAGTGTTGTCTATTGTCCTGTTGAGGGGCGTTTCTTTGTTGGGATTATCTGATTTCCTAACCTTCATCATTTCCTAACCCTATTATATTAAGAGTAGAATCATCACTGCAGGCCTATTTTCTCTTCAGTCTAGCTTAGTTATCATGTAGACATTTTTAAGAGTTTTTTGCTTCTAGTAATAATGACAATAGCTAATTATCTCTCATTCATCATCAACATTCATCAAACCAGGAAGTCCCAGGCTGAGACTTTTGCCTCTCATGTGAAAAAGCACTCTCCAGGGACTTCAGCTGCAGTTCAGTGACAGCCGTGTCAAAACACATCAGCCGTGTCCACAGTACAGTCGATCTCGGCGCCACTAGGTTTCACACTTACCTATACGGCCATGGAAAAGGGAATATCCTATCTCTCCTGAGAACACCTCTCCTCACCTCAAGGCTCCATGGACAGCTATAATATAACATCAAATCAAAATGGACATCTACAGAAAAGCTGATATTTAGACAGTTATGCAAAATAGATTCTATATTATTTTCCCTTTACATTTTTCAGGTCAAAGTTATATTTGGAGCAAATCATACATGATTTTCTCCTGTATTCAAGATGGGGTTGCTCTACCAATCCGTTAGTCTTCCTTTTGTGGCACAGTGGTCTCACAACAGTACATTATGTGCTACATAGCTCGGCCTTTGTTTTCATGAGGTGTACTGTAACATATAGCTATCCACTCTGTAAATAAAAATTACACTGAATTACACATGGATTATATCTTTTTTCCAGAAATACATAAATTAGGGATATTACAGTTGTTAAAGATGCAGTCAGTAATTTTTTCCAGATGTATTTTTAAAAATATTGGAAAACGTGCCTAAACCCTAAAAGTAGTAGTAGTTATCATGTGTTTTCAGACAGTAATGGAAGTGACCAGATGCCTATAGTTTCCAAAAATGTATAAAAAATACTTTGGAGCGGACCGAAAAAAATAAACCAATGGGATTCGTTCATCCCCAACGAACCAATGGGATGTGTTTACCCCCTTCACCCTCTTCCTGTTTCTCGAGAG